TTAAAGTCAGAATACTATACAGACAGCTGCATAACCATGTTTACTGAGACATAATATATAATACTGAAGACATGGAATCACCCTAGGTACCCAAGAGCAAATGAACAGATAAAGAAAAAATGTGGTATATATACACAATGGAGTATTATTCACCCATAAAAATGATTTACTAGTCATTTGCAGAAAAATGGATGACTGGGTGTGATGGCACACACCTGCACTGCACTGTTTCCCCTCAAATAAGACCTGGCCAGAAAATAGCCTTGAAAACTAGAAATCAAAAATGCCCGCCCAGCCGGGCGTGGTGGTGCACCCCTGTAATCCCAGCACTCGGGATTCTTGTGAGTACAAGACCAGCCTGGGCTACAAAGTGAGCTCAAGGCCAGCCTGAACGAGCAGTCGGGAAGGGAAGGGACCAAACTACAGCTGCGGTGCAGTTCCATGGAGGGCCTGACTAGTAAGCACAAGGCCCGGGCTCGATCCCCAGCCCTCCAAAACAAGTAAGAGTGGGGAATAACAAAGTAAGAAAGGGGTGAAAACATTTACAAGAAATACGGCAACAGTGCAAACTAGGTATAACAGAAGACAGAAGTCAAACACCAATTCTGCCATTTCTTTTTTGCCTATGGAGACTTGAGGAAACTATTTAACCTGTCTTAGCCTATTTTCTCCGCTGAAAGTTGAGGAAATTCATGCTCACAGAATGTTTATGACTGTTAATCAGCTGGTTCTGAAGTGCTTGACAAGTGTTTGAATCCAACACTCGGTGGCCATTCCTAGTGGGAAGAACGGCAGTAGGACCACGGAAAGGAGAGACAGTTCACCACAAGGAAGTAGGAGAGGTTTACAATAATCAAGTCAGGAAATAAGTGTTGAAATAATTTGACAGTGGAGATGGAAAGAGAAGAGATAGTTAAAAGGGTATGAAAATTTCAGACGAGAGAATCTTAAGTGTTTAAGATCCATTACACAGCATAATTAATACAGTAATAACAGTGTATTATTGTTTATAAATTTCAAAATTACTAAGAGTGTATTTCAGTTGTTACCCCAACAAAAAATGTTAAGTATTGCTAGTACTGGACATATTATCTTCATCTCATTATTCCATACTGCTGTTAAAGGTCACAACATTGTATCCCATAAATACAGACAATCATAAGCTGTCAATTCATAAAATTTAAAAACTATAGCTGGGCATGGTGGCACACACCTGTAATCCCAGCACTCTGGAGGGTGAGGCAAGAGGATCGTTGCAAGTTCGAGACCAGCCTGGGCTACAAAGTGAGCTCAAGGCCAGCCTGAACTGCATAGAGAGACCCTGCCTCAAAAAGACAAACCAATCAAACAATACATAAATAAATTAATAAAAATAAAGTAAAATAAAATTTAAAAACTAATTTGATGCCAACAATATTTTATAAATTTTAAAAGAACTGGGTACATAGCTCAGTGAGAATCTGCTTGCCTAACACAGGTCCAATCCCCAGTACCAGGAAAAAAAATTAAAAACCTTTGCAGGGTGCGGTGGCACATGCCTGTAACTCTCACACTTAGGAGGTTTTGGCAGGATCACAAGCCTGGCTTACCTAGCAAACTCAAGGCCAAACTAGACTGCCTCAAAAAACCAAAACTACAAAACAGAAGCTAAAGGAAAAAAAAAAAACAAAACAAAAAAAAAACAGCTAGGCATCGTGGTACACACTTGTAATCCCAGCATTTGGGAAGCTGAAGCAGGTAGACTGCCTTGAGTTCAAGGCCACTCTGGGCTACATAGTCAAATCAAGGCCAGCCTGAAGTCTGAAGTACACAGCGAGCCCCTGCCTCAGACAGATCAGATAGATTAGACAGACAGACAGACAGGTAGCTAGCTAGATGGATGGAAAGACTAATTCAAAGCTAAGAGCAGTGGGATTACAGAGGGATACTACCATGCCCTGCAATTTCACTTTCTTGAGGGGAAA